CAAAAGACTAAATGTGGTAGTAGCTCATGAATTACGTACAATTTTTTTTAAGATAACATTAATACTCGTATATAGAGAGATTTTATTATTATTATTGTTAAGAGATATGGCACTGCGACTGTCGGATCTATTGTGCCCCCTTCTGGGTTAATAGCAGGTCACTTTGTGCATTATATATACCCGGTTTCTTAAGGTGGTGTTTTAGTTTACAGTTCCCTGTAAGAATTTCTGTGTTGATTTTAAATTTTTCTTTTCATACGTTCATACACTCCTGGTATCTCCTATTGTTATGGATACCAATAACTGATTTGGATTGTGTTAATGGTGATATATCATCCCAGTAATACTTTTTGTTTTGGTTATGGTTGGGTGTGATAGTGTCAGTAACATAAATCAGTCGATGAAAAGAATAGTACAATACGAAGAACCCGTTTTTACTAAACATATGTCTTATAAGCAGTATATTATAATATATCTTTATATGTATATTGTGTATCTAAGTATATATATATTTTTTTCATTGAATTGTATATTTTCTGATATAGACTAAAAATAATGTTTTTTTTATTGTTAATATGTATATAGTACATATTTCAAAACGTAATGAGAAAAGCCCCACATACCAGAAACTACATTGAGTCATTTTTTTATAATTTGGTGAGCTGATATTTTTATTCTTAAACTTAGTCATGCAAAAATTTTTATCTGAAAAATTTTTAAAATAGATCGAAATGTTATTAATCATTTTACAATTAAATTTTGTCTAAAAATTTACGTAATCAACAGGCCTTCCAGAATTTGTGTCGTCATACATTTTTTTTTTTTTTTTTTTTTTTTCAATTTACTGATATAAAAATGTAAAAAAATTTCTTAAACGAAATTGCTTTTAAGCTGTGAGGTGACTAATTCATTAAGAGTTTGTGTGGGAATTGTCGAAATTTTGTTAGTTTGGACTTTGTAATTAGAACAACTCCGAGTTATTAATAAATTTACTCATTTTATTAAATTTTAATTATTTTATAATTAAAAATAAAACTGATTCAGCTTATATTTTTTTTTCATGCATCTATTTCGTTCAAATTATCGGTAACCCATAGACTTTAAAAAGTCTCAAAACTTTTACTTTTACACCTCTATCTATTCCACTTAACTTAAGAGTAAATAATTGATATGAATTTAGTTTTATAAAGTAATACTATTAACTGAATAAAAGACATTTCGCTGACAGACAAGTATTAATAGAAATAAACAGGGTATCAGCATTTAATGGAGCAGACCACTGTGACCATAGTTGATCTTTTGTGCTTGTTAGTTTTAAAATCTTCATTTTAATACGTGAGCAGTAATTTTATTCTATTTTATTTTATTTATATCTTTTGAAATTTACTACCAGGTACATCGATCAATATGTATTCATTTGTAATTTCGTAAATTTTTTATATTTCTAACTTTTTTTACTGCATCAGTTCATTATTTTTGTGGTCCTTCCCTCTTCGGGCTTGTTCCAAAAGTTTGCCGGGTCAGCAAACTTGACGGATCCTCCGTTCTGCGCAATCTTTTAGCTATCATACACGTTAAGCTGTAAGCTGTATAGATCGAATCAGAAATTTTTTTTATCCGTCATCTACTTAAGTTCATAACTTATTTAATGCGAATAGTACTATTGTTTTCTCTACGCTCAACTTCACTATGATGTATTATTCAAACTTCGCATCCGTAAATAAAAGCGGAGCAAAAGCTTAAAACTGTCGTTATGTCAAAATTTCATCAGCTTATTGTTATTTTTTTTTTGTTATAGATTACAACCTTTAACCTCCTAGTTCCCAAAAATGTTTTAAAGCAGTCTGTATAAAACTCTTATGATAGTGATTATCTAGTGATAATTATTACAGTTACACCATAAGCGACTTTATAGTTAGTTGTGGTAGAGTTAATTGAATCCATAAAACCTCGTAATAGTGGGTAGTAGAGAGAAGATCTTCTTTTTATTTTGCGATACCCTCAAATTTTAAATATATAATGCTAAATGATTTGATGATCTTTATTAACAATTTTTTTTTTTGAAAAAATATTAGCTATTGACTTAAAAACTAACTCCAGTAAGTTTTTCAAACAAAAAAAACTTTGGGGAACTACGGGGTTAATTGATAAGCAAGCTTAAACTGTTCAGACTCTAATATTTTTTCTTTATTATTATACTTATCAACTTTCAAAGATATAACTTATTTTTAGTTCCGCCTCTTAATTGTTTCACTTGTTCAATATATTAAAAGCTCATTATTAATTATCAACCATTTTTTTAAGAGTAATTAAAATCTTTTTTTAAGAATTTCAACATTTATCCACCAACTGCAAGTCTTGTTATATTTTCAGTTTCTAATTTAGATGAAGTAAAAAATCTTTACTAGTTGTTCTTGCAAAAAGTTATTAATAATTCCTAACGCGGATTTCAATCAACAGCAGTACGACCTCGTCATTAGATGCGTTGACGTAAGAGGAGCTGTGTACGTAATAGTTTTATACTTGGAATTTATTAGGTCAAAAAGTATTATTAAATAAAACTACTCCTTCTCTGGAAATTTTCCTCTTAATTTTTTTTTTTTTTTGTGCTTATTTCCTTGTACTATCTGCTTACTTCACACTTCAAATGAACTATTGCCATTTCAATTATTGTATGGCATATTCTCTGAAATTATAATGCATTCATTATGGGTTATATTTGTTCATTGGTTTTTTTTTTCTTTTTTTTGTTTTTTTTTGTTTTTTGTTTTATTGTTGGAACATGCATTTTACCCATTACAAATTCCGGGTATTCCCTCATTCATTCCATAATTGAGATTGCAATTTATTTTTACTTACATTTTTCATTTGAAAATGTAATTACTGATTTTCGCAAAAGTTCAACTTAATTAGAAATATTTTTTTTTTTTTTCTTAAAAAGAATATTGTATAAAATTTATTTTCATTCGTTCGTTCGTTCATATGTATGAATTTATGCATATAAATTTATAATTGTCGATATAAGTATTGTTTTATTGATATTAAAAATTCTAAGAATATTTATTGTAACCAACCAACCATCCATCCATCCGAAAAGTCGTACCTGTGGTATGTGTGTGCTGAAATTGACTCGTTATTGAAACAGGATACATCGAGTAGTAGTACACAAGTGCATACGCTCACACATAACCACATATGTTCACACATAAGCACAAGCACATGCACAATTCCTGTCAATTATGTTTGAGCGTGTATGTTGTGTATACATGTGTATGCTACAATTTTTTGTTATTATTTTTTTGCACATTTGATTTCCGAAAGTTTTGATGAGAATTCCATAAAATTAAAGTTCTAAGAATATAATCAAGTATAACTACAGGTTTATCATTACGTTTTATAAAATTGTCAGATATTAATATATGTGTGTATGTTATGTATAATATGTATATATGTATGTATATAAGTTGTAATCGTATATTCGTTTATATTTGCTATAGCAAAAGTGCAAAAACTTACAAGCAATATTATCACAATTGCTATTTAATTATTGCAATTTCATTCTTTTTTTTTCACTGTTGCCACCTCTAATTTTTTTTCTAATTTTTTGCTTTTTACATTATTTTTATAATATAAATCATACGAGTATTACAGTAATTTCTATTAGCTACCTGATAAAGTCTCTATTGCCAATGGAAGCGACAAATAATATATATACATATGTACAAATAAATATAAGAGTTAGTTAGTTAGTACCTTTTCATGCTACGACATGTATTGGCATTTCATTATTTGTTTATTATTAAATCATGTTCAATTTTTAATAATGATGATGAAATTCAGTTTTCATTAACTTTTGCGCTGGCCGCTATTATCGCCTGTCTCAGATTGACTGACTACCATTACGATTACGTCGTACCTACATATCTATCAACTGTACACATAGTATGTGTGTATGTATGTACATTGCCTTCTCCTGCTGGGCACACTGTTGTGAAGCATACTGCTGGAGTGCTGTAGTGCTGTAGTGCTTGTAGTAATCGTTGAAGTTTGTATTTCATAAAAAAAGCCGACAAGTGGTTAGTAGAAGATACGCCGGCCGTGTACGTACTGTGTGAAGTTGTTTAATACTGAACGCAGCAGCGGTCGGTCATGAGTCATTTCGGAGAATTTCTGCTTCTGTTATTTATGCTATGCCACGAAGTAGAGAGCCAACCAACCAACTAACCAATCAACCAACCAATTCAGTGTAAAGCCAAAGTATTAAAAAGAAAATAAAGAATTCTGCATAAAAACGCATACAAAAGTACATATACTACATATGCATATATGTATATGCCATTGAATTCTAACAAAAAAAAAAGCAAAAAAAAATATGAATTAAAAAGAAATACTTAAGCTTTTTATAATTTCTTCATTATTTTATTACTTAATTTTTTTTTTTTTGTTTCAAATTAATTAATCTTTTTTCTGCTTATATAAACAATATTGGTGTGTATACGCGATGTGTGTTTATGTTTTATAAACATGAACACGGATTTTAGGGCGATTTGGGGGTAATGGGTAATCTTATTCGTCATAGCCGATTTGTTTGCTGCAATACTACGAAATCGACAGGCACGTGAGTGCAAGCAAATAAAGTAACTGAGAATTGATTTGCGGTTTTTCTGCTTGCGTCTTCTTCTTCTTCTTCGTTCTGCTCGTTTATTTGCGTGGAAATGTTTTACTTTCTAAGTGAATTCATCAATGAAAGTCCACTCCACTCCACTCCACACATACAAGCACACACACAGACACACTTACAATGCAAGTTTAGCGCGAAATCCAAATTAATATACGTATTCGTGTTTACACTCACTCCCCCGTTTACACGTCCATATCCACATCCACACCCACCCTCGCACAATCGGTTCAGTTCGGTTCACGTTGCACGTTAAATTTTGCTTCGTTCATCGTTGGCTGTTGTTTTGCATTTGTTTGGGAAAATAATTCTTTGCAAGTTTCAGTCAGACTTTTGGTCTCAACAGCACTAGTCCGGTTTTCTGTCGTCTATTGGGTAGTCTTCGGTAAACAGTTTGCCCTGAAAAATTTTGTTTTGTGTAAAAATTAATAAAATTGTGTGCTTATAATAACAAAAATAAAGAAAAATATACATAGTTTTTTTCTTCAACTAAGACGCCTCGACTATTCATAAACAAAACAAAATTAGTTAGTGCCAAATTATAATTTGTCATAATTAATTCAATTAGTTTGCTAATTAGCATTCAAATAAAAATAAACAATTTATTTACATTCGTTGAGTAATAAATTGAAATGCCTAGCAGTGATTCAAATAGGAATATTTTTAGTGAGTTTATTTTCAATTTTCAATTTAAATTATAAATAATTCTTAATTATTACAACATCGTAAGATAAAATAATTATTTTAAAAATATTTACATTAAAAAATTTTTGTTTAAAACTTCGCCGAATTGATCTATAAATAATATTCAGTTTAATAATAAAAATTATTTATATTGAATAATATTTCAAAAAATGTACTAATTATTTTTTGTTTAATGATAAAATGTGTATAAAATTTAAAATATATATCCAATGGAATTATAAATAATATTCTGAAAAATAATAATTAATAATTTATGTTAAATATATATTAAAAAAATGCACTAATTGTTTTTTTTTATGTTTAATAAAAAAAATGTTCATAAAATTTTGAAAAAATTACTAATAATTTTTTGTTTAATTAAAAAATGTTTGTAAAATGTATGTCCAATTGAATTATAAAGAATATTCCGAAAAATAGTAATTAATAATTTATATTAAACACATTTTAAAAAAATTGACTAATTATTTTTGTTTAATAAAAAAAATTTTCAAAACTTCGCCTAAATCATCTATAAACAATATTCAAAATAATAATAATAATTTAATAATAAAATTAATAATAATAATTTATATAAAATATATACATATTTGAAAAACTTTTATAATTATTTTTTGTTAAACAAAAAAATGCTCATACAACTTAAAATCTATGCCTAACTAATTTATAAATAATATTGAAAATAAAAAAAAAAATTAATTTTTTATGGTGTAATTTATAATTATTTTAGTTTTTATTTATTAAATAAATAAATTTTCATAAATCTTATATATTTTACTCAACTGATCTATGAAAAATAATCATGATAAAATTGATAAATAATTTATGTTATATATATTTTAAAAACTTTGATATTTATTTATTGTTTAACGAAAAATCTTTCTTAATAGTTTATAGTTTTAATGACCAAATATTTTTAATTATTTTGTTTTTGAATGGGCTAATAGGTCAGTAGTTAAACAAGCCCGACACACATCAAAAGTGTTATTTGTAAACGGGGTTTTTTTAAAAATCTCAAAATAAAAATAATCTTTAATATTAAGATTATAAACATGAACTATTATAAATTACTAAGATAGTTCGAAGCTATGGTTCAATACTCTGATTCACCCCCTCTTCAGAGTCTTATTTCCTCCTAGAATCGCTTTAACATGAATTTGGTATTTTAAATCATGCTCTTTTGATTTACGATTTGTGCCCAGATTTCTATTTTTTTACCGCATTTTTCGGTGTCTGCGATATTACAAAAACTTGTCTATCTAGCCTTCACCATCGGTTCAAAATATGCATTACTAATTGATCGTACTCCGATTCTATATTTGATTTCGATCATAAGATGAATAAAAGGATCCTTTAACACTAAACTGTTACATTAAAAATCTTTTTTTTAATTACTTTCATAATGTTCTTATATTTAATTTATATAGCTTTATGTAGTTATGATATTTATTTAATATTTTGTGTATATAGTTCCAATATTTACAAGAATATTGTTAAACAATAATATGTTTGTTTGAGTGTAGCATATCTGAAAAGCATTAAATGATCCTTTCGATTTAATTCTGAAATATTTTTTGCAGTTCTTTTTATACTTGCTTTTTAATTATTTTTAATTATGTCTGGAAATTGTTCGTTGCTTAATCTTCCATCCCTCCATTCCATTTCTCGTTATTTCTAGTATTTAGTAATATTTAATTATTTACAATCTATGCAATACTCAATTAAATTAAAATTATATGTCTTAAATGATTTTTTATTATCCTATAAAATACTCAATAAATATTATATTATTAATTCAAGAAGAGGAGAAAACTTTTTTGTAATGGATCGAAGATTTTTCTTTAGTTCTTAGTATTTATACGGTCTATATATTTCTTGCAATTTAAGAAATCTTTTGAATAATTTAAATATTATTTTTTTTAAGTCATAATAAAATATTTATATTCTCAGTCAATCGTTCATTTATTTTTATTATCCATTTCATCCTAATTTATTCATCTCGTTTACTTAATCTTAATCTTAATCCATTACAAAAATTACTGACCAAACTGTTATAATGCAAAATAATTAATATTTTCTAAAATTTTGATAAAATTCTATGAATCACTTATTTCAAATTCCTACATTTTCACTAACGCCTACGTTACCCGATTATGTATATTACTATGAAGATCATCTGATAATGTTTATGAATCATATTCAAGGAATTTGTTGTATTCCATTTGGCCGCAGTGCAGCGATCGAATATCAGGCGAAGTATCTAAACAAATGATGTAAATATTTGTTGAACATAGATACGAAGAGGAGTGTACTAGGATCGTTTATAATTCGTGGAAACAATTACTAAGCATTTGATCCATTTAATATTGTTGTGAAATTGCTGAATTAAGAGATATATGTAAAATAAACTTTTCTACATAAATAACACAGAAAAATTTGCATTGAATCCTTAGACACATTTTAATGGTATTCCGTTTTTTTCTGATAATACATATTCTATCAATGGTTTTGAAGAATTCTTTCGTGCTTTAGAAGCAGGTCTAATAATAACAATTCTGGTCATGTTGAATATAGTTATAATAACTTAAAAATCCAAAATGTTCAATTATCACTTTTACTGTAACAATTCAGTTAATTTATACTTATAAAATTTTACATCATTATAATTAAAAATTAATTAATGTATATATTTTTCACATTTTAGCACAACAATAAAAAAAACACGTCTGTAAAATTTCTCCAGATGGGGCACCGTTTCAGTAAAGAATCCTCAAATTCCTTAAAGGGTTTACCAACCAATCTACAGATCATAACAACAACTCGAAATTCGGAAACTAAGAATTTTACTACTGCAATCAATAACAATACAAGAGTGACTGGATCACCACGTTTAAGCAATACGACGAAGACCGTTAAAGAAAGTTTAATTATACCCAACGCTGAACTGAGTAACACTCAAAGCGTAAACTCAGATACAACGCTTCCAAGGCATTTAATTATAAAAATACAATACAAAATGGAAAAAGGTAATAAGCAAATACCACAGCTACTTGCGCAGGGAACGCCAGAGCTGTTGGCACGTTCAGAATTTTTGGAAAATTCAATGGATGCGAATTCAAATCCACAAATTATTAATTTGACACTTAATCATAATATATGCAATGAAAATAATACAAGTACAAAAGAAGGAAATAGAACTGCTGGCAGCTCTTTATTATACGCACAGAATTCTCCAAATGGAACTGTAACAAAATCATCAACTATAACTTCAAGTGGAAAAACAACTGAATCGTCGCTAGCAGCTTCAGTGCTCAATAATCATATCAGTGCATCCTCGCATGCTTACAATTCATTGTCAGCGCATATTAATGTATTGCAGCTTAAAGATGACTCAGACGACAACATGACAGATTCGGCAGAATATTGTGAAGTCCTACAAGATAGTCGGGCGTGTACACCAATCAGTCCACAGTCAGCAGCTAATGCATCGATACAGGAAATAACACATTGTTGTGGTAAATATTTGTTGTAAATAAATATTCTGATCAATTTAATTAATAATATTTATTTTTTTTTTTTTTTGGTAGAAACTAATTTGAATAATACAACATGTTGTCGAAATAAAATGAAACCAACAACATCTTCATATGTATCCAAAATACGCAATTGTCGCAATGTTTTCAAAAGCATGTTACAGCCACAAATCAAATCCAATAAAAATAAAGAACGCAAAGAGAACAAACATTCCAAAGATGTTGTATTAAAACCAGCTAATGCACTGATGCAACAATATGAACTGCCACGTCCAAGCGCACACCATCAAACACAACAACGAATTCGTCAACATCAGCCACATGTGCCAAGTACAAATTCTGTAATCTCGTCTAGTAATTCCACGCCAATATCGATAAGTGCTGTTACAACAGCAGATGCTAATGTCAACGCTACAAATCAATTATCATTATGGGCGAAGACAAACAATGATGTTATTATACCTATTAATTCACCACAGTTGGTGCTTTTACAATGCCCACGCACTTCAATGGTAACACTGAGTCCTATTAACAATAATGCTATACGCCTGTTGACCACGGAAATTGTCACTGGTAGTAGCAATACAATTAATAGTGCTGATACATCGATAGTGGATGTTACAAAAACCCCAACGCCAACTCCTACAAGTTTGGTGAAAAATGTACACAATGGTCCAATTATACATTCCCAAGTTGATTATGTGCATTGCTTAGTGCCTGACTTAGATAAAATTACGAATTCAAGTTTCTATTGGGGCAAAATGGATCGTTATGAAGCTGAACGTTTACTGGAAGGTAAACCAGAGGGAACATTCCTATTGCGAGATTCAGCACAAGAAGAGTTTTTATTCTCAGTGACATTTCGCAAATATGGACGATCATTACATGCACGCATCGAGCAAAGTGGACATAAATTTAGGTTGGTTTTATTTGTTAACTATTATCTATTGATTTTTATTTTAATAATTTTAACACCGATTGTGGCAGCAAGAGAACTGTCTGTTTAAAAAATATGTTTTGTGTAAAAAATTAAAACTGAATAGTGTCTAGCAATATTAAAAAAAGTGTTCATTTAACAGAGCTTACACTGTATGAACAAAGGATAGACATATGTTTATATCTCATCATCACAGTAAAAGCTCTCTTAAGCGAACGTAGGCGATTGCAGCAAGTCTGCGGAAAGAGAAAAATATCTATTTATTAGAGAAGTGCACTAAACAAAGTTTTAGCACAGCCTTCATATGACTCTTAACTGTAACAATAACAACAATCTTATTTATTTAATATTTTTATGCTTTAACGTTATTAAATGTTTTCTAATTAATTTTATTTTCTTCTTACAGCTTTGATTGCCATGATCCTTGCGTATTTACTGCTCCAACTGTTACTGGACTATTGGAACACTATAAGGATCCAACATGTGTTATGTTTTTTGAACCAAATCTCATCATTCCATTGCATCGCAAAACAACATTCTCATTACAACAGTTAAGTCGTGCTGCCATCGCTTCAAATACCACCTATGATGGTATAAGTGAACTTGAGCTACCAGCACGTCTTAAGCTGTACTTAAAGGAATATCATTATAAACAAAAGTTACGTGTTAAGCAATTCGATGAGCCAATGTACTCTTGTACATAGTGTCCACTCAACGTTGGGCGTTACCATACGGTAATGTCCCATCCAAGGCGTTCTCACCTTTATGCTTTGCATGATATACTCGATGATGATGATGATGATGACGATTTTCCACCTTTGTATCCAGCAAATAATTTTATACAACATTCAACTTATCTACAACAACTTCATACTAATAACCGCAATAAACGTTTACACCAATTGTACAAAATTCCAAGCCGTATGTTGAGCATGTTGAGTCGTATATCAGCAAATTTAAATTGTTATAGTTTAGAGGAGAACAAACTACAAAGGCGACAAAATTGACAAAGGCGTAAACAACAGCAACAAGTGAAGTATTTGTTCTATTGAACCAAATCAAATCTAATAAAAAAAAAGACAAACAGACAATCCCAGTGAATTATAAAAATAAATTATTCTGTTAATTCAGTATAATAATGAAAAATCTTTATGCTATGCAGCTCTCTATTAAATGCTCTACAAGTTTGAACAGTTAAAATTAAAATCTTTGAAAGAAATACTTTAATTACTATGAAAGTGTTTATAAACAAGAACCTCTTTCCATCTTCCTTTTATACTATTTTGAGATTGTGAGATCATGTGAGATTTTGAATTTGAACAAAACTTGTTAGTGTTATTTAGTAGTTGCTTGTGGTTGGGTATTGCTTCGCACGTTGCATATGATACCTTTATTTGCCTTTATATATTAATAAGAAAACTTTTCGTTGAAAGGTCTAACGATATACAATAAAGCAGGCAACAACAAAGCATTGTTTTGTATAAAAATTTCCTCACTCATAGGACATAAAGTTTATAATAAAAATGGTTTATTTTAAAACTTTTTTTATATAAAAATTTAATTGAGAACAAAAAATATTGTTTGTAGATATTAGTTGTTTACATAAGTATTTTTTTTATTGAAATAAATTATATTTCCTTTATGAAATAGAAAACGTCTTGAGAATATTCCCAGTGTTCAAAAAAATAAATAATTAAATAAAAGTATACGCATTGATATATGCATTGATTCCCATCTCTAGAGTGATCAAATTGCTTCAAGTTTGTTCTAAAACTTCTCTACAAAGTTGGAACTCCTTTTAAAAGCTTTTAAGTATCTTTTTATTTTTAATTCTTATTTGTTAATATAAATTTTAATTGTAGAAAACCTCTGTTTAAACATTTTTAACGTTAATAGTTTTCAACGATTTTATGCAAGATGCAAAATGCAAGATAGCGTAAGAGAAAGCGGGGGGCTGCATGTGTAATGATTCTTATCTTAATTGTTATAGTTAAAATTTATGAAATTAAATTTAAATGTGAAGAACAAAATTGTTAAACTTTTCTATTGTTAAATTATCGCATCATATACAAATAGTATTAAGCTTAGACTTTTTGCATAAATAATTGCTAGCATTAAAATTTAAAAATTCTACAAAATAGTATTAATTATCATATAAAGTAGTTGTTGTCGTTTTTCAACTCGAATTATTTATTCTGGTTATATCTATCTTTTATATACAAAATTTATACTTATTGCGCAAGTAGTAAAATTTCAACTTATTTTTGATTCTCAATCTACATTTTTTTTAGTCAATTTTAGTATTTACATACACTTATATGTATATAACATATATATTTAATTTTTGTTTTGTTTTTATGTTTTAATTTCATTTATAATTATGCGCATATTGACTTTTCTATGGCATAACAATTACTACTTCCATGACGATATATAATTTATTTAAAATAACTTTTAGTTTTTGTTGATAATTACATTTAATTTAAAAAGCTATTAAATTTACGAATTTGTTAAAATTATATTAAAATCTGTTTAAAAATTGAATTACTTTTTTGTTTTATTGTATTTAAATATATACAAAGTATTTAAACTTTAATAATACAAATGCTATTTATGCAAAAAAATAATAATAATAAATTAAAATGTAGTAAATTATGTAAATAATAATAATTGGTGGTGTCATTGATTATATATATAAATATATATATATATTATTATAAGTTAACTTAGTATATTAAGTATAAATTTACTTACCCCTTATCTCGAATCCGTTGTTATAAATACATTGTATGTATATCGTTTTATGTAACGAATTTATTACTTATTATACGGCTTTAAAGACAGTTACTGAATCTTCCAATAGATTCCTTATCTGTAGCCGTATTTTTACTGCCAAAGTCTGGTACTTACATTAAAATAAAAGAAATTCCCTAATAATAGTACGTTAACTAAATATATATATTTTGTATGTTTTATATTATTTATGCATTAATTACAATATAAATTAAAATTTTTTTATTTAAGATATATTAAACTATGTATATGTATATTTATATATATCTATATAAGCACTGGCTGCTATCACTATTGGCTTATAGGAACATATATATTGCAGGTTTGCAATGAGACGGACTATAATAGGGGTGACAATAATATGTTAAAAAAAGAATTATTGAAAGACAAAAATAAAATTTAAATGCATTTTTAATTTATGATGTTGTATACTTAATTATCAATATATATATATTAAAAAATATGTTGGGTTGTTGTTTGTATTTGACCAACCTGTATATTAAATAAAAAATCGTTTATTATGTTAAACATACAATTTATTATATTACTAAATTATTTATTATAAATTTCAATGCCAATTGAGCATCTTTTAGTTTGTATATATTTATTTAAATTTTTATATATATTACTTATGGATTAGATAAATCAATTAATCAAAATAAAATCTACATGTCTGTTTGAATGTATTACAAAAAATATTACAAACAAAAGAAATAAATAATATTAAATAAAAGTATTTAAATACATTGAAAACATTATAGTTTTATTTAAAATGTTTAAAGTACATTGTTTTATAGGAACAAATTTTATTGAAGATTGAGACGTTCTAAAATCGTTTTACGCACTAAAATATATACTGATTAAAATGGTCAATTATATATTATATAGCTGCCGTAGTTGTGAACATGACGATGAAAGTGCTTTCCAGCTTAGTCAACTGCAAGACCTTCACTTGTATAGCATTACTAGCTTTGCCAAAGGTTTTAAAACTTTGAGTTTGTCCATATACGGTAGCACAATGGGCCTATAGGCATAAGTGGATCCCTTGGGATCGCCAATATAAAAATATACCTAAACGAGTTAAAATATCAATTATATATTTAAATTTTTGTGATATATGTGATATATTATTAAGTGAAGTTTATAAAAGTTTTATCAATGGCATAAATGAGCTCATTACAATGTAAACGTTCACTCATTAGTATAAATCAACAAGTGTCTAAATGAGACGGTGTGAATGTACTATTAGTAGTTGTATTAAAAGCAAATTTTGTCAAATTCGAATAAATTTATTGATTTTATATGCATAGCATATATATTTACAGACATGTTTATGGTACTAGTTTTATTGAAACATTAACTAACATTAAATATTAAGTGATTTTAAATTATATATTAATTTTAAGATCTTAAACAGTTAATTCGTACTGGAATAATTTGATTTGACAGGTCGAAGTGAAATGAAAGAAACATACATATTTGAAATAAAGTCAATGCTATGCCAATATTATTATTATTGAGGTTTTCCGTAATATATTAAACAATTTAAATAGATAATGTTAATGTGTTAGAAAATTTATTTATTTTGATCTTTCGTAAATTTATAAAACTTTTCACTATTCAATTAATTTTATTATTGTATTGCCTACAATATTTTCACTTTTTATAACTTTTTTAATTGATACCTTAAGATCTTATACTATGTTCCCACTGCAGTTTAACTTATATTAATCGAATTAAGATTTGCTTATTTCCATTGGAACAATTCGATTTATGAATGTGACGTCCAACTAAAATGAATGTTTTTTGTTAAATAATTTATGTTATTGTATAATGATATCAAGTATATATATAAAATAATTTATATATTTTTATATATCAATTTTATTTATAAAAAACAAACATTTTAAAAATTCTTACTTTATGTTTGTTTGACTTCTTTGTATTTTGTTTTAGGTGTGATTTCCTTTAATTTATTTTTAACTAACCTGGGAAAGGTCTTTTTACGGTTAATCAATCTTATTAGCCACTTAAATCATATATACTGCTTGAATGAAGTTAATGGGAATATACTATTATGTTCTGTAGTGTGACATACACACTATATATTTTATGTATATCAATTTTTACATTTCTATGTACCTTATCTATATTGTTTCGTCATAAAACAAAGACATTGAAACATTTAGAAGCCATAATTCGCCAAATTGTTCTGGATGTACAGCCTCAATTGCTCGAAACAGCTGTGAAAAATTAAACTATCAGATTGAGTTCTAGCTAGGCGCTTATTTGCCCGATATCAAATTGAAATAATAATTTTACACAATTTTTTTCAATTAACAATTTTTATGGGCAAATCGTTTAACGAGTTGAGAGCAATAGCATAAAAAAGAAGCCAGTGGAAAACTTTTTTAGATTCGTAAAGTATGAAAATAATATATATATATATATATATATATATTATCATTATTTGATTGTTTTATTTCATTTTCAATATTTAACTAGTAAAAAAAAGCAATGTGCTTTATTCGTTTTGTGTGTATCCACAGCTTGAAGAACTTTTTTAATTTGGGTTTAACAGAATTACTGTGTTGGCAACCCTATTGCAGAGAACAGCTGATTTGAGATTAAAAGCAGCAAATTGTGTTTAATTTCACAATTAAATTCTATTTAAAATTGAATTCTGTAGAAAATGCAACAAGAACCAGAAAATTGTCCCGGAGTGGAAAGTACCAATGCAGGTATGGCCAGTGCCTGTCAAGGTTGTCCTAACCAACGAATTTGCAGTGATCCAAATAAAAAATTGGAAGATCCGGGCAAGGCTTTGGTTACTGCTTCTATGAAAGACGTGAAGCATAAATTGTTGGTGCTATCAGGCAAGGGCGGTGTTGGCAAAAGTACAGTGACAATGTTGCTGACCAGGTACTTATCAAGCAAATATCATGAACAAAATTTTGGTGTGCTGGATATAGACATTTGTGGTCCATCGCAACCGCGTTTGCTTGGTGTTGAAGGAGAGAATGTACATCAGTCTGGTTCTGGTTGGTCACCAGTTGGTGTAGATGATAATGTGTGCCTCATGTCGATTGGATTTTTATTGGGTTCTGCTGATGATGCTATTATATGGCGCGGTCCCAAGAAAAATGGCATGATACGACAGTTTCTCAGTGAAGTCGATTGGGGCAATTTAGATATATTACTTTTCGACACACCACCTGGCACATCAGATGAGCATCTTTCTATTGTGTCGTATTTACGCAATGATGGTGATACTGAAAGTAAACCATTGCGTGCTATAATTGTGACAACGCCGCAGGAAATATCATTATTAGACGTACGTAAGGAAATTAATTTTTGTAAGAAACAACGCATTCCTATTGTTGGTGTGATTGAAAATATGAGCACATTCCGTTGTGGCAATTGTGGTGAAAACTCTGAAATATTCCCTGCAAAAACCGGCGGTGCGAAGACTATGTGTGAGGAAATGCAGGTACCTTTTTTGGGCTCATTGCCATTAGATCCAGAAATCACGAGAGCATGTGATTGTGGCGCCGACATTACGGAGATAAAAAGTACAACAACTGAAGCGCTGGCTAAAATATGTGATAATATAATGGGTAAACTGACGGAGTCGGATTAATATTTTATAACGTAAAGTAGTTATGCAGTTTTTGTTAATTATTTGGATTAGAAATCTATAAGAATTCACAATAAAATCTAAATAAATTTATAATAATTTACTCATATATATTAAATTGTTGTTATTGCCTTTTGATCAAATCAATCAACGGAACTCTTGTTACAGTGGCTCATAGAAGTGGTTCCAGACACTATTGTTTAAAACTGCTAAAAGTAAAAGAAATACTAATTCGCATTAGTATCTTCTTTCGCAGAGCAAAGAAGAACACTTGATCAAAGGAATGTTAGTTAAGCTATTCTTTGCTCATTCTGAAATGTACATATAAATAGTATGGTGCATCCAACCCGGCGTTTAATGTCTTTAGAAACTATTTCACCTCTGTATAAATTGGACGATATCCTTCTATGTGTTCAAGTTTCAACAAATAATGTTCTTTAATGATCTTGAAATTACCATTATTGATAGTTATAAATAATTCATGGATTAATGCGCTCTTAAAGAATAAACTATCTAATTACCCGATGCCACTGGAAAATATTAAAAAGGTACATATCATCCGAAATAGATAACCCTACAATGGAAGTGTGCGGATTCTATGTACAGAGAGGAAAACATATAAATGAATAAATGGGAGTTAGACTACCCAACGCATGTTTAAATACTGACTATTCTAGCGTACTGTACTATTGCATTGTATGTATTTATCGTTTATATGTATATTAATGCATTAGTCTAACTCCCAACGTAAGTTTAGGTAACCGTTACTGTACCCGGTTCCAAGAACGGCCGAGTCTACATCCCGGAGCCATTTGTCAATTTCAACAACCAAGTGCCGTTCACTCCCACCCCAAAGAGATTTTACAAGCAGCTCCCCGCGGGCTACAACAAAGACAATTATTGCAGCCAGTAGTTGTTTCTTAATTGCTGAGTATATATTTTACATTATAACTTAAACCATATATGCTTATAAGTAAACAAAGCATAATCCTTTCACAGTTTCTTGTGACTCTTAAAGTTCAGTTTTCAATGAGATCGATTTTAATAAAAAAAACATTTGTAGGTTAGAATATAACGTAGATTGCTTTTGATTAAACCCTTTTTCTAATTGTTGTATGTATATTATTTGAATGCCTGTTTTATTACAAAGAGCATAACATTTACCCTCAGAACAGCTACCGAAAACAAAAGTCAACTTTCTGGGACACAAACAACAATCTATATAAGAAAAAGACGAAAACACTTTAATAGTATGTTGATTGTCAGAAATTATTGCGATACTGTATTTAAGGTTTTAAAAGCATATTGCTGGAATTACAAATGCTTTTACTATGATAATTGGTTCAAGTATTCTAGATGGTCCGTTCTGATTACAACAATAAGACATAATACTATTATCATAGCTGAATATATAATCAATCACCTAGTATATACAGGTGTTCGTTTACTAATATATAATGCAGGACAAAGTAGGCTGCAAGAACGGCTGGATCTTTGTCCTAGAGCCACCCGTCAATTTTGACGACGAAATACTATTTATCACCCCCAAAAGGGATTACATAAGCAACCTCACAGGAAGAACGTCGTGTAAAAATTGTCTTAGCTCAATTAAGATCAGGATACAGCCATGCAACTCTACCCACCATGACGTCGTCCAACTGTTCTCTTGTCCCTCTGCACACACTTATCTTAGTCCAATCGGCCTTTGGACCCACTCGCTTGAGGTAGCTAGGTTTCTACGGCTGGACATGGGTTAATTTCAATTATATTCCACCTTCCGTTTGCAATTATCCCATACCCCAAACATCATATATCCACTTCCCTACCCATGTACTCGTCTTGTAATCTTTACAATTATCTGCTTTTCAAATTTCGGCCGACTACAGCAACAACAACATTACACAAACAGATCGCTGCGTACTACAACAACAACAACTTGCATCTAGTTTCTTATAATATAATTCGCACAAATTTTTTTTTAAATACTTGACAATAATGTACATTTATTTAAAAATTATTTAACAATACTTATAAATTTGCTGTGCTTGCATTTGTAGGATTAAAAATGTTTAATAACGCCCTTAACCCAATTTATGTGTGTTTCAAGCAAGGACAACTACAAATGTAGCCATACTTTCTTATGTATTTATAAAATATTTATTTGTAATTATTTTTAATATAAAATATTTAATTTTTTTGCAAAATTTACAACATAGATTTATAAGGGAATTTTGTTTTGTTCATCGTAAACGTTAATATAAAACTAAAACATGAGTGGGGTCAACTTTTACCATTGGAACACTATAACAAACACTTTAAGCTAGTTAGGTAGGTTAGAAGTATAAAACTATACAATATATATAGGTGTATTACACAACAGAGTTTAGTTAAAAAGTCATTACCACAATATTAATTAATTTTAAAAATTAATTTAATTAATTTTAAAAATTAATTAATTTTGTGATAAAGAAGTTTTCAATGGTCAAGTATGCTGTCTTACACAAAATATAAGTATAAAACAAATGTAAAATTTTGAAATAATGCTTTTGGTAAAAATTGTATAAAAACACATTCTAACAAAAAAATAAATACAAACATGCATAATGTATGCATAAATTATACAAACAATGCGTTAGGTAAACTTAAACGTAATTGCACATAACAGAGTTGGACAAGCATCGGCTTAGTTATGTGAAGAAGTTGTAATTAAAACTACTTTTGTTAAAGAAACTTAATAATAGCGAATTGATGACGTCGTAAGAAGTTGGATTTTAGGTTTACGTTTGCATTGAATCTTGCGTTTCGTTTTCACAATTTGCCGCTGCTGCATCAGTATCTTTATCGCATGGAATTAATTGTGCATCGTTCGTTATTGTATCCCTCACTGAGTTGTCGATATCTACAGCCAGGTTTGCATTTGAACTGTCTAATGAATTTGTTGTTTCATTATTTTGTTTTGCATCTGGTAAACTATATCTCTTGTGATGAAAACATAATGCATCAGTACAATCCATAACTTTATATATGCCAACAACCAAATCTGATAACTCGAACATGTTAGAACGCAACGATATGATAATGAACTGAGCATTTTTAGTTCGCTCCTGAAAGGCAAAAAAAATTTTTTTTCATTAAATTTAAATACAACATTAAATATAAAAATCTATTAAACAGTACTATATACTTCAACTCGATTTGAAACATATACATTAAAAAAAATTGAAAATAAATAAAATCCATTGAATATAATGAAATAAATAAATCATAAAAAAATATATAAATAATAAATAAATAAATAATTAAATAATTAAATAATAAATAAATAATAAACAAATAAATAAATAATAAACAAATAAATAAATAATAAACAAATAAATAAATAATAAACAAATAAATAAATAATAAACAATAAATAAATAATAAACAATTAAATCAAGTAATAACAAAATAAATAATATTAAACAAATAAATAATAATAAACAAATTAATAATATAAATAAATAAAATAATTAATAAATAACATAAATAATAAACAAATAAATAAATAATAAACAAATAAATAAATAATAAACAAATAAATAAATAATAAACAAATAAATAAATAATAAACAAATAAATAAATAACACGTTTATTCCTGATGTGTGCCCAAACTGCAGCTCTACCATCATGATTCATATATATACTTAAATAATAAATATACTTCTATATACACTCGTTGTAGTGGTTATAAATCATATTTCAAAATATGTAACTATCTTAAGTAGAGTTTATGGTTTCTCTAATATTCTTATATACTGCATACATTTACTTTAATGTTCATAAATATATTAAATTCGAAATTACCTTAATGTAATGCGCAACGATAGATATATTTTTGAAATCGAGCGCTGCATCAATTTCGTCCATGAAATACAAAGGTGATGGCTTGTAGTAATGTAAAGCAAAAACTAATGCTAATGAAGACAGAGTTTTTTCGCCACCTGATAAATTTGATATATTTTTCCAGGTCTTTTTTGGGGGTCGAACACTAAACGATACACCTTCAGTAAATGGATCCATTGAGTCGACTAATTCCAGTTCTGCATCACCGCCTTGCGTTATCATTTGATACATCTCCTTAAGTTTTTTCGTTATAATTTGAAAACCATTCATAAATTCATGGTAACGCTTCTTCCGTACATCATCATGCAACTGACGCATTTCATTTCTTTTTGCTGTAATGTCCTCAAGTCCTTTTACACGCTCTAAGTAGGCATCGCGTTTGACAATATATTCATCTATGCACGAGAGGTTTGGTTTCTTTTTCTGCAATAATTCTTCTTGCACACTCTCCTTGTACTGTATATCCTGTAATGTGTGTGAGTTCAACTCTTCTTCCGTATAGGTTTTTAAAGGTGCTTGGGGCTCTTTATCTACAGGTATTTCATTCAGTTTTAGTGGTTTCAACTGCTGTTCCCAATGCGGAATTTGTGATTTTACTTCGTTAACACGATTAGTTGTTGTGTTAAGTTTTTGGTTAATTTCAATACGCTTCAACTTTTGCTGTTCTTCAAGATCCTCGATTTCTTTTATCTCTTTTTGTACAACACTTGCACCAGATTTAGCATTAACTAAAGCTTCTTTTGTCTCTTCTAATTGTTTAGTTAATTCTACGGTTTCATCATCGTGCTTCTGGCGTTGTTCACTAAGCTCAGTTATTTCATCCTGACAATTTATAATCATCGAATTTAAATTCTCAATCTCCTTCTCAGTTTTCTGGACATTTCGCTCTGAAGAACTGACTTCAACCTTTAACTTAGTTATGTTCTTGGACAGTTTATCTATCTGATTAGATAAATTTTTAATTTTTGTCTGTACGGATTTTATTTTATTGCTATGAATTTCCTCTATATCAGCTTTCGTTGCTGCAATTTTTTTATCTAGTTTATCGGTGTCAACTTTAGCCTTTTCCACACTCTTTTGCTTCTCATTTATTTGTTTTTCTAATTCATTGACTTTAACCGTGTCGGATTTTGTTGCATCCATACGTTTCTTTTGTATCTGTAATTGCTCAAAAACTCGTGGTAATTGCTCTTCTAAACTTTTATTTGTTATTGATAGTTTCCTGCCATCATTTTCAAACTGTACACGTTTTGCTCGTAGCTGAAGCAGTTCGCGTTCAATACGACCTTGTTCTTCTTGCAAAAAATTGATTTCCGACTGAAGATTCTGGGCTTGCTCTTGCATTTCATCTAAAGCTTTTTCGTTCGTTGAGCTGTTCATATCTGGTTTGGTTTTCGTTTGCACTTTTGAGCTCATTTTTCCACGAATTTTTGAACGACCACCACCTGACATTGTACCCGATGTTTCGATTATATCACCACTGACTGTTACAATGCGAAAACGACGCGCACCAAAACCAATACGTGATGCTACTTCGAGATTATCTGCAACGAGTGTATCACGAAGAACAAAGTAAAATGCGGGCAAAACACGTTCATCTTCAACACGAAGCAAATCATAAAGTCGTGGTGTATTTTCTGGACTAAAGAATTATATTATAAAACTACTTTATGTTATCAATTTGCTGACTTACGTTTCTATACGTCCAGAATATTTACTGTAATGTTTTATTTTCTCTAATGCAAGAAACGATGCTCGACCAACACCAGCTTGTCTCAAGCTTTCGATACATTTCTGTGCTGTGCGAACATCTTCCACCAAGATATTATCTAAACGACCACACGCTGTAGAAATCGCAACATCATATTTCGAATCGATACCAGCCAAGTCGCCCTAAATATACACATTGAAAGAAATTGGTATTTAAATATATAGTATACACATACTAAACGTCCGAGTACACCAGGTATTTTCCCAGAAAGTTTTTGCCTAATCAAAAAGTCAACAACTTTATTGTTGGAACGGGCCATTCTTAAAGTGGTCACCTTTTCATCGATCTAAAAGAGAATAAAATCAATTCCTAATAAGCATACAAAGTAATTTGTGTTGTGATCAATTACTTACTTGTGACTTAAGTGCGTTGACTTGTTGTCGTTTGATCTTCTCATCTTGATTTAATTTCACCAATTCCTGCTCTTTTTCCTTGATACCTTGAGCTATTTCTGGCAGTTTTAATTGAATCTCTTCAAATTTCTCCTTTTGTGTTTTCAAATTTTCAAGAGAATCATCATAGGATGTTTTAAGAATTGAATATTTGTTTGCTTCTGCCGTTTCATCACGTTTCAGGATGTTCAATTCTTTCTCCAGCAGTATTTGTTCCGCCTTTGCACTGTCAAATATTTGTTTAAAATCTAAGAGATCCGTTTCAAGTTTAGTACGCTTTTCAATAAGAGGTTTCGTTTGCTCTTCGACAAGAATGTAATTTTTTTGTAAATCCTCATCAGCTTCTGCTTTTTGTTTAGTTAGTTTCTCCACCTTCGTTTCACATTCTTTGATTTCAGCTTCGTTCTTCTCTGGTATTTTCTTCAAAGTCTCCAAATTCTCTTCACATTTCTCTAGCGAAACCTTATTCTCTTTACGACGTTTATTAACTGCTGCCATAGTGCGTTGTACTCTAGTAAAATCACTGCTTGCCCTTTCTAGATCCTTTTCTATATTTTCCTTTTTCTTCCGTACGGCGTCAAATTCTCTGATAAATACGAACGCAATTAGAATATTATTCAAATAAAGATGGTTAATAATTTCAATAGACAGGAATAGGTAGTGTTTGCTTATAGCACTTTTGAGATATTCTAGTTGTTTTTTTTATTTTGAAGAAAGAAGGATAGTAAATTGTATGAAATAAGCAAAAGTGCACAGCCCTCAAATGTACCAAGACGTGGATGTGCTAGAGATCATTTTATTAAGGAAGGTCATTAAACAACCAAATATTACATATTAAATTATGTAGCTGAAAGCGGTTTCACAATGTATTTTGTTCTTGTGTCACTGTCCATCTTTACTAGTTTGCACTATAGCAATTTCACTCGTAAATGAAAAGCCCAGTTAGGAGTAAATGCTTGTCAAAACAACAGACGAACTTGTCTAGTTTGCTAAGGATTTGAATTATTTATTTTCGGCTCAGGAATAAAAGCAATGAGAGCTGATTGTTTCTGATGAGTCCGATAATATAATAAAAAAATGCCGACATAAGACACATGAGAATGAAAAGTAATATAAATATAAGAAAATTATATCTAAGTTTATAAATATGGTTGTTGCTTTAGTTTTAGCTGATGCGATGTGTTGGATTATTGGCATATTCAAGAAGGATTGGTACTTAATGATACAAAAATTTGATGAATTTCAGAAAAACGGACAGAAAAACAATTTTTTTTAGAATAACCCTTCTGCCTACGTCATTGTGGTGGGTTATCGACAATGTAACTAATCGTTACGACAAAAAAATCTAGACCTTCTTCTGATTTATTGTTCTAGAATGTGATTAAAGTGTGAGCGCAAATTAAACTTAGATTAAAATTGTTTGCAATGACATGGAATATCCGCTTGCAGTTGTAGTTGAATATTAAGTACTTAATATATTATATAAAAATTTGGATAATATAATGATTACTATTGTTCATTTCCTGCATGTGGGATTTCAGAATTCTATTTTTTTTTCTGTATAGTTAATGTATAGTTAAAAAAAACGATTAAAAATAAGAACTGAAAATGGGCAAGAAATGTATTCAGATCTTGCATTTTTACTTTTAAATTTTTCTGTCAATATGAAGACAACTTGCAACTTTAAATTTAAAAAAAAAATGTGATGCTTACTTGATTTCTTTACGTTCTAAGTCTTCTTTTTCTTTGCGCTTTGTTTCCAATTCTTTAGAAATTTCATCATGTTTCATTAATTCATCACGCACCTCTTCTTGTTTTTTGGTGTATTCCTCTAATTTTTTACGTTTTTCACTTATGTACTTTTGTATTCTCAGGTTTTTAGTACGTGTATTTTCATTCTCAAGCCTCAAATAGTCCAAGGCTTCATTATATGGTTGTTCCAAATCATTCATTTCACGTTCAGATATTTTTAAGCGATTATGTTTTTCAGTGCGCTCGTCTGTTAACTGTTCAACGCGTTCGTTAATTTTTTGAAGCGGTTCCTTGTACCGACTTGTGCCGATAATGTCTTCCAAGTACTCCAACATACCGGTCTCATTTTCGTTCTGCCCTTTTGCTTTCATCATCGCTATCGATTCTACTTCGCCCTAATATATTTGTATAAGAATATTTTCAATACAATAACTAAACTATCTATTATATATAATAACTAAACTAACCTGTAGAATTAAAAACCGATTATGATCCAAATCGACATGATGCGTTTTTAACAATTTTGCCACCGCTTTAAACTGTACACGTCTTCCATTTATTGTATAATACGAAGAATTATCACGAAAAGCTACCCGCTCTATAACTATTTCACTACCTGGTATATCTTTACACGATTCGTCATCCACATCCACTATTTGGCGAAAGTGTACCGCAACGGAACAAGAAGGGGTGTTTGGATAATTTACTGAATTGTGTAACAAAGTTGATACTTTTTTGCATCGTATTTTATTAGCGCGATAGCCGAACACAAATAATAGCGAATCAATCACGTTGCTTTTACCGCTACCATTCGGACCAATAATAGCAGTAAATCGCTAGAATATAAAAAAAAATTTCATTAATCACAAATAAAAATCGCTCAAATTTGGTATTGTTGTTATATACGTACATGATGAAAAGGTCCCAACTTTACTGTGTTTGCATAACTTTTGAAATTGTTATTAATTATTTTCGTTATAATGAGCCTTGGTCCGGTACTTTCCATGGAACAGTGAGGCGGGATTGGTGGCGGTATATATATGTCACCGATACGCGTCCCTCCTTCTTCATCATCCGATATGGTAGCTTCATCCAATGCATGCCCTGGCGCATCTGTAGCACTTACTGCTTGGTTATTTGACTCAATAACTGGTACAGGGTTGTGTGTTTGCTTAATTGGTTGTGATAGAGTTGCCTCATCTTGCTTCGAAGCATTTGGTTCAGATGTTTTGTTTGCGTTTAAGCGCGTATCTTCAACTTCGGCTGCATTTCTAGATACGTTTTTGTTAGCATTGGCTTTTGTGCCTTTTTTACGTGTTGTTGATTCATCTTTATCTTCATCCTGTTTTCGTTTACCTGCACCGAATTTGCCCGAATTTCGATTTGCATTTCGTCGATTTGACATAGTTACCTCGCAGCCACTGTTTTGGTAGAGACTATTTTGTCTCTATCACTTAGTTATTCAAATTGAAACATAAAACTTATTAATGTTATATATATTGAAGGCAATTAAAATTCGCGCGTCTTGCCTCTAATTCTTTACAGCTTCACAGGGCAAGCGACTTAACGCAAAGCTATTTTCAAAAATGACGTTTTAGAGCTGCCAACACTGTTTCAACTTAATTTTATTAAAATGAAACGTAAATGCGTACGTTGTTAATTGAATACGCGTAAGTAATATTTTGGGTGTACAAAAATATTCAAATTTATATAAGTACAAAATTTTTTAAATCATTTTTAAAAATTGGCGCTAAATATTGTAATTATGTATAAATCATTTTACATAAACAGTACTCTATAAACTGAAGGGAAAAATAATTAAGAGATTGTTTGAATTTATTCAGTGATGGAGCTGATTAAACAAATTACACTTTATTATATTAAATTATATTATATTATACTAAATTATACTTTATACAGTTTATTAATTTTGCAAATTAAATAATTTATTTATATTATTTATTATATTATATATATGCTAATAATATTTTAATATAATATTGATATGTAAGATCTTGTTAAAAATTTTAATTAAGTTTTATATTAAACTTCAACACTTATTATTAAGTAATTTTTATTATTCCATTTCGCATTATTTTTATTTACATTATATTTGCACCTGAAAAAACTATAGAGCCGATTTCAGTTTTAAAATTTTACATTACTCACTAACAAATTTGCTTTTGTGTGATTAACAAATTATTCCATAATTAAAATTAGTCTTCGGTACGTATTATGGTAAACTTCACTGCTTACATATTTTTACACTTACAGTGTAGCTTTTAAAAAAGTTATTAAGATTAAATGGTTATACAACCATATCTAACTAAATATAATAAATTTTCGTTGTAACATCTTACACCACTTATCGAAAACTTATTAAGTTTACGATAAGTTTGGAAACAAATATGTACTTTACGTTGCAACATCATAAAATTTTCGGTTCCGGTAAAATTACTATTTGCTCAATTTTGGCGGAATGACGCTCTGATACTTACGTTACGTTATTAAAAAACGTATTGAAAAATATTTGTTTAGGGTTGTAGCGTTAATTTTAATTCGTACGGATATTTTAGTACAGTTTTAATTATTATTATTATTATTACTTTTATATAGTATGGTATATATAATACTAATGATACATTAAATATTTAATAAAATAAATGTTGTATTGTTTATAAATGTGTAAAATAAACTATTTTAAATGGTCTTCCATCAATACATGTGCAAATATGTACTGCAGACTTATGCTTTACTAAAACAAAATAAACAATTGCATACACCTGCGATACAGTTAATATACAATGCTTGCTTCCACGGTCATAATTTATTTAGTTACATAAAAAAATTTTATGGTCCTAATATTGATCTAATATTTGATCAAGCTGTTATTTTATTATTACGCAAATTCAGATCACATAAAAATATTTTAAAGTTGTTACTAAAGATTAGGATAATATATTATAATACGAAGGATAATATAATATATATAATATATTATAATATATTATATGAAGGATAATATATTATACGAAGTGCTTTCATAAATGAGCTCATTATCAATAAATCAGCTGATTTAAGGCGAATAATGTCGAATGCAACACTTAAAAATTAATTGCCTACAAGAGAAATTGCAAAAAGATGATACTGCAATAAATCTCGCATTGTTACAATCCTGTATTACAATAAATCGAGCGTTGGGACAGAATAATGTGTTTTCACGATATGTGGTATTCCGACCGAATATTTTTGCTTTCAATATATAGTAAAAGCGTTTAAAAATTAACTCGTGTATTAATATTTTGTTTAACTCCACATTTGGATCATAATAACAGTAACGACCAAATACAAAGTTTGATGGAAGACACTTCTATCCACTATAAGTGGGAAGGGTTTGTGGTTTGACTATCTAATAGTACGTTCACATTGCATGATTAAGGGTATTTAAACTACACCGTCTCTTATTTTAATTAAGATATTATCACTTTTGTGATGAGTGCGGAAAAAATATGGTGGTGAAGAAAAATTTGCTATAAGGATATCCCGCATATAGGTATTAGAGTTTTGTCTTCTTTTGAAAAAAATGATTTGTTGGGTTAAATAAATTTAAACGAAATCATGAAAGGCCACCGCATGCAGTGTTTTCTTCGTTTTGAATTTTTCTTAATGAAAAATGCATCATAATAAATCAAATATTAAAAATAAAGTAAATAAAATGTTTACTTACTCCGATAAGTTTTGATCTCTAAATTTTTGAGAAACTATTCCAATATCGTAAAAAAATTTACGATATGAAGATATTTGTGATATTGCACAGAAGGTAAATACCAATTTAAATGAAATTTTTTGTTAATCCTGACTTAAATTGGATTTTATTTTTGTATATTGAATCCACAACTTAACAACATATTCAGACCGATAACCTTGCTGACAGCTTTGATCCAATATTACTCCCACAATGTAAAAATACTTTAATCTGAGAATCAACACTTCTGAGTGCATATCTGTGTTTGGAACGTGATAAGTAAATTAAACCAGTTTCATTACTAATAATGCACGTGTAATATTTGCACGCGTTTCGAAATTAGTTTCTTTCCAAAAAACAAGATTAATCCTGGGGTATAGAGTTTGTTTTGTACGTACTTTTTGTGATGTTATAGAGTTGTCTGTCCATTATAATGGTTGGTATTTTAATTAATTGTATGTATTGCATATTTGTTCTTAAAAGAATAAAAGTAGTAAAAATATTTGTGATAGCTTTCTACCATAGCATTTGTTTTTATCTCCTAATCACCTAATCATAGCCTCCGATAACACGGTAAGCTCTACTTATTGAGGCTAGCAGGTATTTATACGTGTTACGCTAAAATATATTCTATTGCCACCGATGGCAAACAAGTCGGATAGGCGCATGCTTTTTTGGATTGGAGGAAATGAAAAAGGATTAGAGTTGAGTAATGATATTAATGTGTGTATTAATATGAAACTCAAAAATGGATTGGTAAAAAAACGACTCGCATTTGTTGTTACAACGTCTAACTTGAGACAATTGTGCAGAGAGGTGAACATTTGGGTTTAGTATCACTTACAAGTTTTTACTTCCTTTACTAGTGAAGTATATGTCATAAACATATTTATCGCACGTATCACAAAAATCCCCTTATGTAGGAAAAAAAAAACAATAGGAGGAAGATATTTAATATCAAGTATAATAGGGATATGAAACAGACCTATGCAACAAACCCATAACATATGAATCAGCAATGTACATATCAGAGAAAGCTAGATATGGCTTATTCAGAATCTATTACATCTTTTACATATATACGAATGACGCCTGCTCTAAGGTTTTTAGGTGTGCGGGGCACACATTAACATAATTTGCAAAATGTCAAAGAAAATATATAACTTCATTAAAATATCTACATCCAGAATTAAAATAATTTATTACATTTACATATGCATATATATTTTTAAAGAATAAAGTTTTATAAAAAACAATTAAATACAATTAGCTTCAATAGTAGTTAGGTGTGCTCATAAGTTTGCAGTTCAAATCGCAAAACATTTCTATTACATTTCGTGTCTCCCCTTTTAGCAGTAGCAGCCACGAATTTTTGCCGCTAGTTGTACGCAATAATTGGTCGCACATTTATACGTTGCAAGTGTTTTCGATTTTATTTGATCACTGCATAAACATGTATGGCTTTGAGTACATACTCTTTTGCTTGAAAAAAGTTGCTTTGATGTTGTGAGAAGTATGTATGTATGTGAAAAATTATGTTTATTCCATATTGATATAATATTAAACTAATATATATAAATGTAAATGAATAATTTAATTTATTTAATATTTAATTTTGTTGATTTATTTTTATAAGTGTTATTGTGAATGTATTGTCGCCTTATTTTGCAAGACTCGAGTTCGATCCCTGGTACTTGGAGTCTCAAAAATTATTTACGGATAATTAAATACAAGAATTATTTCCAAGCCCACTGATGATGGGTATTTGGCAATACTCGAAACAGCTGTATGATCAGCCAAAAATTCAATTTATTAAAATAATATAAGATGAATTTTTGTTGTAGTTCAGTAGTTCACTACTGTTTGAAAAAACCTCTTCTCGCGTGATATAATTTAGTTATTATTAATAAAACATCTTATCGATTTGAATTAAACACCTTCCATATAGAGCACGCGTCGTCAATAATATATATACACATATGTATAATACGCTTCTAAATACATCTCTGAAATACAAAATTTAAAATTTAAAGAGCACAAAAAAATAAGAAACAATAAGAAAATTATTAAAATCTGTTTTGTTTTTTAAGAATGTTAACTTTTATTTCGTGCGTTATTTTTTAGTATAATTCTATACGTATTTCGGCAAATTCGCTTTTGCCTTCATCAGGAGGATTCCTAATATTAAAATAAAAGTTAACATTCTTAAAAAACAAAACAGATTTTAATAAAAATTTCGACGTAACAACTCAAAAAATTAATAACAAAATTATAATAAGAAAATGTTTAAAAAAATTAAATAAGTAATTATGCTAAGAGCTCACAACTTACAATCGAATGCGTCCGCTATGCAAGACACGGACGCATCCAGTCTTCGAGACATATACGTAAAATGTCTTCAAAAACATTTGGCTAATTTGTTCGAAAATATTTTCCATGATCGTCATACATTTCGATCGATTAGTCTGCAGGCATGCATTCATTTATGCGAGACATCTTCGATGATGGATTAATTCGTTTTCTACTGGGTTACCAATAAAGTTATGCTTGTGTGTAAGGTACTTTATAAGTCTTCAATGCTGCAGGCTTTTTCTTGCATTTCCGTTAAGTGCTTTATATCCGCGTAAAAAGTTTGCTTTAGCTAAACAAATGAACAATAAATTGTTAAGACATGGAAGAATATTTTAAAAATAAAATTTTTTTTAATTAAAAGAAGTAGAAATATTGTCATTGATAAAATATGCTTAAATTTTTATTATTAAATATGGGAAATATATTTTTTTTTTCTTCATATTTTTCTTGTGAAATTGTTTAATGTGTTATATAATATGTATATAATTAAATTGTATTTATAGTACATTATTTTATTAATATATTTTGTTGCTGATTATTTTGAAATTTATTTTTTTTTTAGTTATCGCTTGACGCTTTGAAGTTCAATGCAATTTAGAAAATTTTGCACTTGCCATGCAATTTTTCTTTGCAAAATAAAATAAATATGCGAACATTTGCGTTTACATAGTTTATTCATATTTTTATTATCAATATTTTAATTATAAAAAAAAAACAAAAAATTTTTATGAAAATAATTAATATTTTCTTTAATTAAATTTTTTTTATTTGTTTACTAACAACTGTGCTATGAATAAATACGAGTGCGAAAGCAAAGTAGAAGAAGAAGAAGCATTGCTTTGCAAATCTACTCACGCGTATTTGAATTTGAAAGTCACAGCTTAAAACTCCACAACAAAAATAGCAGCAGAGGCAACGACTGCGGCAGCGGCAGCATTAATGTTAGCTTTTACAAAAACAATACAACACATAATAACACATAGAAACAACAACACAAGAGTGAGACAAATTTTCACCACAAAAAAATAAGAGGTTCAAGAGTGAAGCAGCACAGCCAGCAGCCAGCAGTCAGCAATGAAGCAATTTCAAACTGAATCATAAGCAAAAATTTTGTTTATGTTTTATTTTTGTTGTCGTTTTTGTTTTTGTTTCGAATAACGAATAACGAACTGATCTACCAACTGATCAGCATCATGTCGAGCCATTTCCTCAGTTGAAGACTCACCATTGAGTTAAGCAGCAGCAAGCAGACTTGTTGGTATATTGACGCATTCTTTGACCAATAGAACAGAAGACGTTTAAACATAAAATCATCATCGATAGCATATCGTTTTTGTTTTATTTTTTAACTAATTAACGTGTATTTCGTGTAGTTCTTGTGTATTGCGTGTGTATTGTGTTGTGTTGTGTTGTGCGTAAATGACGCGTAAATTACAACTCTTCAAGTAAAGCTTATGCTGCTGCTGTAATTCGTTTGCTGTTGTTGTTGTTTTTTTTATGTGTTTATGTGCAAGTTTGCCACTATTCCATTCAAATACATGAGAAGCCATAAAGCAGAGTATGATGCTGCCGTTGTTGTTGCTGCAGTGCTGCTGACCTTTATTATTTTCCTCACCAATGACGGTATATATAATATTTACTTCCTAAGCGTATATTAAAATTTTTTTGTTTCATTTATTTAATGCATTTCCTATTTATTTATAACATATTTTTTAAATCAGCATTTTTAACCTTTTTTAATATAAATAATTCAGTTTATCAATGAAAGTGAAACTTAATTAACATAAAAATTATTTATTTATCCAAAATAATAAAAATATTTTAAAATAAAACATGCATGGCTTCGATACGATTTCCTAGGCTCCACTATTTAAGAGTTGTGATTGTTCTTAAGTTTACCATACTAATATAATCATATATGATAAATGACATAAATCGAATTTTCTATAACTCGAACTAAAAACAGAGTTTTAGCGAGCAAATTACATACAATTATGCTTCCATAACTCGAACTTCTATAGCTCGAATTTTTCTATAACTCCAATAAAATTTTCTCGAAATATAACTCGAACTTCTATAACTCGAATTTCTCTATAACTCCAATAAAATTTCCTCGAAATATAACTCGAACTTCTATAACTCGAATTTCTCTATAACTCCAATAAAAATATTGCATTCTACAAGTCGAATTTTTGTTTTAAGGCCGTGTGCGAGTTCGAGTAAATTGATGGTAAATAGAGGAAAATAGTAAATTATGTATGGTAGCGAATGTTGGTATTTACCAAAATTTCGAGTAAGGTAAATTAGATAAAAATTAGGTAAATTATGTGTTACCATTGTGAAAATTTTATAAGATGTTTAATAAATAAATAAATAAATTTGAAAACTTTTAGCCAAAAATAATAAATAAGTGCAATAAATAAATAAATAAATATTTATTTACATAAGTGCATTGTAAAAAATCCCTAGGAAATTTCAATTTACTTTACCTCAATTTACACGAACTCGCAGACGACATAAGTATGAATTCATTTTGGTGTTAGGGGAAGTCCTTTTTTCCAAATCAAATGTTTACTTTTTTTTCTTATGTTGAAATGCATAGAATTGGCACTTCTTCTTTCGCCGAATATGACATCTAAATTCCAACCACTTGATTAGGGAGTAATTCAAAATTTAGAGTGCAACTTTCGCAACAGAACCGTAAAATAAGCACTAAAGCGTATAGAAGCAAATAAAAAGCAGAATATTACACTTATGGATTGCATACATCAGGTAACTATAGCTTAAGATATAGAAGTAAGTAGTCAAATGATCGCGCACTGCTCTAAAAAAGCTGGATTTGGCCAATTTTCTACATGGGACGAACTCAACGATATTCTTTTAGTTTTCTTGAATAACATTTATGAAGACCGTAAATTGATGTAAAAGTAAAATAAATAAAATCGCTTCCAATGCTACTCTTAAGGACTATATTGTGCTTGACAATGAAATTTGTACAATAACCTTTCCTACATTATTGAGCATTATAGCTCTGAATTATTGGATCCGATTGTAATTGCAAAGGAAAGTGATGATAAGGGTTCGGTGAATGAAATTGTTCATCAGCCTTCCAAGAATGAAGTAGAAGACTCATTCAAAATTCTGAATTTTTATTTGCTGCACTTCTGTGCTGCATTCGATTTCAAATAAATAAATAAATATCTTAAAATGTAATTTTAGTTTCTTTCAAAAATGAAAAAAAAAATTAAAAAATTTTCGAACTCAAAGTGTCCATAAGTCGAATATATCGATTTCATTTGCTTTACGATATATCAGACTTTATTTTGGCTATAAAGTCATATCATATTGGTTATTTAAACAGTAGTTTCTTGCTTCATCTATCGGCTAGCGAACCTAGTACATGATGGCCGTGTTCTAATAAGAAAAAATCTAGCAATCTCATTGAGATGTTCCGTAAGTACATCAGTCTTGTTTTTGTTGAAAGATCATAGCTGTTTAGGGAACCATATCAGAAAATTAAATCTGCTATTTAACCACTCTTGTCGATGAAAGTGTTTCACAATTGCTTTGTTACTCCTCATTGCATGCGATGCGTTGGTTGACTATGCTAGGCAATACTTTTTTAAAAATCTTAACCGGTTCCAATACCTCTCTAAAGAGCATCTTAGAGTATGTCAAGGGTTAAAAATGGTTTTTAAACCTTTAAGTTCTTATATGGTATATGTGTAGATATGTATTTAGGATCGCCGGTATAACCTAACCTAACCTAACGTAACCTACATTGACCTACAACATACAGAAATCTACAAAACCTACAAAAACTTAAATGTGCTACAAAAAGTATTTGATGTTTTCCTTTAAAATGATTGGTCACATTTGTCAATAGTTTTTTTAGAGTGCAGATAATACAAATAGATTAACTGGTTATTAATGCACATATTATATTAACATTGCGTTCACACTGCACAATTAGCGAAGCCCTATTAATATTAATTACACAATTTCAATTAAGTGTTTATACTACGTTCAATTCAATATCATCGCCCGAAATCAATTTATCTTCCCAACGCTATGTTACATGAATATTTATACGAAGCTCATAAGAACCTTTTTAATTGATTATACTTGTATTATTAAAAATTATAAATATTAATAATTATGGTCTAGCAACCTACCTACTTGACAGCTGACAGCTGATTTGTGTTTTACTTGTCAATAAAAAAATTTTCAAAGTACATTATAAATTTTGAAACATAGTTTGTGTTTCCAGTTTTTTCTCTGAGAAAACTTAATTTCTATAACTAAAAATAATATTTCAACATACAAGTATTTCAACTAAGTTGCAAAATTCGTTCTATCTTAAAATTCTAAATACGCTATTTTGTAAAATTGAAAAATGTTTAACTTGAGGCAACTAGCTAGACGTATGGCTTATATCTCCTTCCACGGAAGAAAAAATCCTACTGTTTCTTCATTTAGTACAAGCAGTATCAGAAAAATAGGCTATAAGGGGACTAAATCCGTTGATGCCTTCTTCTTTGACACTGATGATGATAGGAATCTTCCTAGGGTGGTGGATATAGATATGGACAAGATGATGGAAGACGATAACGAGGTTGACGATGATGACATCATTGATGGAATCAAAACTGATCTAATACTCCCAGATGATGTAAAGAGGGAAATCATAAGTAAAGTGAGTAGTCCTGTCGAAAATGTGATTCCGGTTGATATGCATGATGGTGTTTTCTCTGGTGGTCTTGACGATAGGAATCTTCCAAGGGTGGTTGACATCGATATGGACGCAATGATGGAAGATGAAGATGATGATTCTGACATTATTTTTCAAGATGATCTTGGTGCAATAAAACCAGAACTTCTACTCCCAGAGAAGGCGAAGACTGAAATTGCACCCGCTGAAACTTTGTCATCAGCTGAACTAGATCCAATTGCATTGGAAATTAAAAGTCTCCTACGCAATTCCATTGACGAAGAACAAAACAAGCGTTTTGCAGAGAAAATGGTTGGAACTAGATTGGATTTGGCAGATATAAAGTTGCCGGAACCGACGGTTCCAGAAGAATAAAATCATTATTGCGAAATTATCTTTCAAGGGTTTTTTTTTTAGAAAAAGCAGTGGAACCGGTGGTTCTAGAAAATTAAAATTAATGCGATATTATTTTTGATTTAATTATTTTTTGTCAGTATTATAATATATAGTTTGATTTAATAAAATTTTTTTTACCCAGTTATAAATAGTGTTATTTTTTGTAGTAAAGTCAAGTATTCCTGATATTCTGTCCAAATCTTCTGGGCAAGTCAGCACATAACTAAGATCACTTATAGAATGATTGAGTTTTACGTCATTTAATATTTGTCCCTGTAACCAAACCGACTAGTCGGTCTTTCCTTGGATGAACTTTCCTTCGACTCAGTTGGTGCCTGATTGAAACAAGCTGGTTCTGTAGTGACTTTAAGAGAACTATCTATCAAAAATAATTTGAAAGGCAGCGCGTTTAAGTTTTTTAGATAAGGTAACCGCGGAGATATATATTTGGAATTAAATACCGTTTTCACATATATTAGAACTCTTCAAACATAGGTTTCCTATGCCCATGGTAAGTTGTAAGTAGTAGTTGTAGTGTCCTCAAAACTTCTCATGTTTTGCCAAATAATTTATTAAAAATTTATAATTTCTTGTAAAATTTAGATAATAGAATTTTTATATAGGTTTCAAATACAGATTAGATTAAATAAATATTTTATTTTATGGTTTATTTTAAGTGCGTCCTATCACTTGTGCATCCATTAGCACACACACGGATGAGTGTGGGCATACTTTAAGACGTCCAACAAGTTTTTTCAAACGACATGTAGATTTCTCTTTTCTGAAGAAATTTTTCAAACACTGGATTCCTTTTACAAGTACATCACGTGTTAAAATGGAATTTTACTTATACAAACGTGATTTTGCGGATTGCGGACGTCAAATTGTCACGGATGATACTGAATCGTTAGATATTTCCGGTTTTAATGGCGATCAACCAACAAGGTAGGATTACTTTGTTAGTATATAATTTATAAAGAATCAAATATATTTTATAATCAAACTGTTAACTTCACTATCGCTTGCTCAACCATGCAGTCGTCTATCGTCTTGTATAATTCCTGATTGATTTATTTTTATTTCTCATCATATTCTCTTTCAGCTTGTTACCGTGCAAATATCACGATTTTTGCACGGTTTTTTTGTGAATTAACTGTCTTCAAGCCAATCATTTCTTCAACGGCTTTCTGTCTTTTGTCTTCAACGGGTTTCAAATTTGGCTATTGTGAGTAGTCGCAAGATGCTAAATCTGTTGAACATATTGGAATAAGCGGTTATCCACGTATTGAGTTATATGTAATCCTGACATTCTTTTCAAATACTTCACAAGCAATTTATTAAAATTACGTAGAAATCATCGTTGCTTGTTTGATGTTAATTGTCTTATGACTATAAACTAATTAAACAAAAAAAAATCGAATATTTCCTAAGACCACTGATGATGATTAGTATTTGGTAATACTCCAAACAACGTTGTATGGTCAGCTAAACTTCAATAAATCAACTAAAATGTCTGTTGTTGCCTTTTCATTTCTATTCAAACCCTCAAAAACTTATTTTGTCGCTTTTATAGTATGAACCATTAAATATGCTAGTGCTTATTCCAATCCTTCACACATTTTTAAAAGTCTGATTTGAGGTATTGATTTCATCTACTTCTGTGAATTTTTTTTTTACATCCTCGAATCGACTGAGAATGGCTTTCACGATATGATTATTTCAGTTTTGGAATCAAAAAAAAAAATCACACGAAGTGTCATAACAGATGCTCGGTCACTCACGTCAGTTGATTTGTTTTGATTCGTGCACAAAGCTAGCTTTGTGCCATCGCAGAATACTCCAGAGTATAATTGCAAAAATCATTTATGTAGCCACATTGGGTAAGAGATCACATTTAAATATCACCTAATAACATCATACAGTTTGCCGCTAGTTTTTAAGTAAGTACATCTATATTAAATACGGCTAATATACATATATACTTAGTATATGTAGTTAGTATATATACGAATCCATTAGAATGCCAATTTTTTTTTGTGTCAGACGATTTGTAGATTTTCTTTGTAGTGTTGCCCTTCATTTTTCATGTGTGTTATGACGAATTATTTTCGTTATGAAATCCCAAATTACAAACTGTACGCCTCATAATGCCATTATATATGCATCTATTAATAAATAATTAGCGAAAGTATCAAGCAATCTTATATTTGTATTTAATAACAGAACTGACAGAATGAAATGAGATCACCATTTACCAGAAGAAACTTTCAGTTCTTATTTAATGATTTTATGAGCACTGTAGCCAAATTAAAAATTATATACATATATATAAATAATAATATGTATATATAAACTATTACTCATTTTCTTAATGGATTAAGTAATACAACTTTAATTATTATTTAAAAGTTTACTTCACTTAATTATATAATTATTTATTACTATACATTGAATGAAACTTCCTCTTAAATTACTAAAAATATGTAAAAATAGACAAACAAATGTATATAAAATATGTTGGGCAAAAAGTATTCGGCATTTTTTTCAAACATTTGAAACATTATTGTTTTTATTCTGATTGACAAAACACAAGTATTACCCATTTATTTCGATTACTTCATACGATATTTCCACTACTTACTTAGTAAGTTACTTAAGTAACTTTAGGATTTTGTCGTTTCCATTGCAATAAGTAACTTATTGTATGTGAAAGTGTTTTTATGTGTTAGAAATTTCTTTAAAAGTTTTAGGAGAGCTTCTGTTTCTTTACAAAAATTGTACTTAATAATACATCAAATAAAAAATTAAATATGTAATTGATATATTTAATCAGTTATATAGATTTTATATATATCAATTACATATTCAATTAAGATAGAATCTCCCTTTCAATTATATCTGTCACAGTTGTGGAGAAAATACCTCCTATTCGTTTTGTATTTGTCCGCCACATGCGCGGCACCGCCTTACAACTTAAGAGGCTTTCTTTTCTGAAAATCTTGGTCAATTACAAGACCTCTCATTAATTAGGTTTATAAGCTTTGCGAAAGGTTGAAGGTGGTTTTAAACCTCAAATGCTTTCCTTATACAGTACCACGATGAACCGATAGGGTTAAATGGATGCCTTGGAATCGGCGATACAACCAACCTACCTACCTACCTAAGTTAGTTTCTATTCTCTTAAGATAATTTTAGAAAAGGTAGCGAGGTAACGTATTGTGTTGTCTACATACATCTGCCATGTATTGTCAGTCAAAGTTAAATTCTTTTCTTCGAGAATTCAGTTCTTTAGTAAAAATTCTGTTTGCTACCTGTACACAATATATAGAGGTTAATGTCCTGGAAATAATATAGCTTATTATGTTTAAATTTGCCTTTGGTTTTAATTGATCAAATATTTACGTTTTATTGGACATTTTAAATCAGTCTTACTTATAATAGTCGTTGCTTTTTTTTTTTTTTGCAGAATCATAATTCATGGCTGGATGAGTCAAAGCAAAGGGTCGTTTAATCGTGCCGTTAAGAATGCTTATCTTAACTTAGTGTCACAGTTTGCTGTTGAGCAATTAGATAAAAAAGATTGCACGCCGAGTATTGAAGATTTAGACGTGAATACTCCAGCACTTGACAATGCTTTAAATGATGCAACAAACACCACACATATCATACAAACCATGCATAACATCACAGATTTCAATGTCATCGTTGTGGATTGGAGTCTCATATCATCCAATGTTAATTATTTTGGTGTTGTAGACTTGATTGAGGATCTTGGCTTTTTATTAGCTGAATTTGTGCATTTCCTGCATATGCGTACCGGTTTGCATTATGACGATGTTTATTTGATAGGACATTCACTAGGTGCGCAAATAGCTGGTAGCGCGGGTAAACAAGTCAAACCGTTCAGATTTAATACAATATTTGCTTTGGATCCGGCTGGTCCAAAATTCCGTGATTTAAGCGATGAACATCGGGTGGATCCAACAGATGCTACATACGTAGAATCTATACAAACTAGTAGCAGTTTAGGTTTTGAAGAACCTGTTGGACATGCAACATTTTATCCAAACTATGGAAGAGATCAGAAGAATTGTTATATTTATGGTTGTTCACATTCGCGCGCCTATAATTATTTTGCGGAGTCTATAACAAGTACCAAAGGATTTTGGGGTAAACTATGTAAACGCAAATCTGAAGATATTTGGTTAATTTCGGATAGTGGTGCAGAGTTCCGAATGGGTGGTGAGCCATCAACACCGAAACGTGGTACATTTTATTTAAAAACAAATTCTGAGCCACCTTATGCAATGGGACGACAAATCTTATCTGATTAAATAGATTAAATGAATATAATATTTTGAATTGAAAGTTGTTGAGCTGCACGAACTGGAGTATATAGTCAAGAATCAAGAAATGCTGTATAAAAAATCGACTGAAAAAGCTATGACAAAGGTCCATAATATGCAGAAATCATTTAGGATAACATTGCGTCATTATGGATGTTCTTTTTAAGATTGATTATGTATAAGTTATTTATTATTATGATCATTGAAATATTATTTATCGAATAGTGATTGGATGTGCAATTTGATTTTAAATCTTACAAAAAAGCTTTATCAATTGTAATACGAAAAGAACACTTGCTCGCTTAAAACTTTACATATGAAATAAGACACTTACTGGCTTAGCAAGCAGAGTAAGTCGCTCTTTGCCTACGAAAATAAAGAAAAAATTATAATGATGTTTATTTTATTTTATTTTAGTTAAAAATTATTTTTGTTCTATCACAAGAAATTAATTTCGAAAAAAACAGAGCGAAATATTGAAAAAATTTTAAGACCAAAAATTTAATTTTTGTGCCAGTGAGTTTTTGGACTGATTGTACAGCTATTTCAGATACTTCAAATATTTTTTACATAAGTGGTCTTTAGACCACTTATAAATTTGTAAAGTTGTGCGTACATAATTTAAATTCTTTCTTACTTACTACTATCCTTCTCTCCTAAATGGAGCACAGGGTCTTACTACCTCAATAGACCTGACGAGTAAAAAATTTGACTTAAATTGATGCTTGTACATTTAAATAGGCCGAAAATGCCACATGTAATAAATGTGCATTTGTGGTATATGTTGGATATAGACTAATTTTTAATAAGGCAAGTAACTATTCAGCATTTGATCGATCTGTTTGAACCGTTTTTGTGATCTTAACCAATATAAATAAATTTAGGCAAAACATGCCATAAAAAATGTGAATGGGATGGACAGACTGATTGTTGCGAAAATTAGTGCGATGTTTGAAAAAAATAAAGAAGGGAAAAGGCATCACTCTACAGATTAGTCTGAATCCGAGTGCAGAAATCTTCTTACCTAGCTTCCTACAAATCAATTGAACGGAAAGATTCATAGAAGTGAAGGATATGGAGGAAGAATTTTATTACTTCAATAAAGTTTTCCCACAAATAAAAACTTTTAAAAGCAAATTGGTGTTTGCTTTTGGACAATTGAATATATGAACAACGTTTATATATTAGATATGGTCGGATTTAATCGAGATAAGTAATCATTTTCCACTGTTCTATATTCTGTGCAATGTTGCATAGAAATTTAAAAATTTTATCTCCTGAAGAAAATGTCGGGCGGTGGTTTATTAAAATCCACATTGTAATTTGAATGGGCTTTTAAAGATAATGCTGAATCAGTATGAAATGGATTTATTGTTTGTTGGTATTCGACTATATTAATTTTGTACTAAAAATATGAAAGCTAGGATCAACTGATGATAAAGATGATAGCACTATCAGATTAATAATCTATTTAAAGATCAATCATAAGGAAATTATTAATAAGAAGAGTTTAAGTTATTATACGTTGATGGTGAACGTTAACTTTAACTGACGCCGGTTAAAATTTGCTGCACCGAGTCTTGTCAGACTGGGATGTGATTCAAGTTTGTTTTGTAGAACTGGAGAGTATATGATTTTATAATTAGTCATATTTTTTGTACTGTGCTAAGTGAGATATTTAATTCTCAGTATATATGGTATTGATATCGACCATATAAGGCGGTGGTTTATGCGAAGAATGGTAACATTTTATCTAGAGTTACATGCAGGATTTGTGGTTTGATTGTTATGGGGATCTCAAATTTTTTTAAATGAAATGGACTGAGTTAGAGAATAGAGAAACTTAAAAGATTACATGGAAAATCGAAAGCGATTCCTGTCTTCTAAGAAGAACAATAATTAATTGCTTTGAATTAATTAATAATTATATTTATAATTGCTGTTTTAAGTATTTGCAAGTTGAATATATATATTAACTATATATATAGGAAAGGGTGAAGTCCCAATTAAGTGGTACATATATTTTTTTTTGATAAATCTATTTACATTGAGTAGTACTATAATATCAAATAATAATTCAAATGACCTATTTTATTCTTAACAAGTAGAATAAAAAACAAAAATTTGAACTAAATGCAAAATTATTATAATTTTTACTCTATTTTATTAAAAACATAACATTGTAACAACTTCCTTAAAAATATTGTTTAATTTTTACATTTCACAGTCTTAATTATCTAAATTATTTAATTAATTATTAATTATTGTTTTTTAACTTTCTTATTCTTATTTTTGTTTTTGGCTTCGTCCTTCTTCTTGCATTGTAGTGCATTACAGGCCTTTTTGCATATAAAGCAAAAGCCCAATTTAATGATTCTCCAAACAATGTAGAGGGCGATAAATATAACTGCAAATACATCTAATGCAAGATACTGTATAGTATTCAAATGTACCAGTGGACTCTGCATATGTACGGCACCATGATGACGTGCTACATATTCGGTCCAATATACAACGCTCTGTTTAGCAGACATTGGGCGATCGCGATATAATTCAGAGAACTTGTTTATATTCTTTTTGTAAATTGGATTTGAGAGAACTTCTTGCAGTGCTTTTGTCAAGGCTTCTTCCGTTAGTGACAGCATATCTAATTGTACTCCATAACCAGACTGTTCCATATATTCAGCATTTTTCGATTGATCAGCGAAACATGGAAGGGCTACCATAGGTACACCATGATATTGTGCCTCTGCAATGCCACCTTTACCGGCATGTGTTATAAACAGTTTTAAGTTAGGATGGGCTAAAATGTCATCCTGTGGTAACCATTTCTTATAAATTATATTCGATGCTTTGCCGGGAGTATTATCTAAGTCTTCCCATTTCCAGATGACATTTTGCTTAAGTTTCGATAATACATTATATATGATTTTATTAGTATTAGGATTGATAAAGTCGCTCTTTAAATTTGAACCCAAACTGAAAAGTATGGCGCCATTTTCTTTTGATGCATTCATGAGATCATCAATGTCCTGTAAGTAATAATAAAAAATTTGTAGATAATCAATAAAATTTATATTGTTATATATTATAATATATTGAAATTTATTATATTTATTATATTGTTCGTACATAACCCTTGGACAGTAAGTTAAGGAATTGAACTCTGGCTTACTTATACGTTTCATTTTGGCTTGAAACCAACAATATATGACATGTAAAATTACAAACATGACAGCTGAAATTACAAACAAAACTCTCGTGTAAATACAGTGTTAATATGCGGTATTCTAAGATCCCGATATTGATTCATGAACAAAAATTAAACTAATAAAAACATAAGTCAAACCTATATAAATTACATTGTGTTATTTTTTCAGATTTAAATAATATGACTTCAAGAAATTCATTGAAATCTTCAAGTCTAACGTTAAATTAAAATTTTTGTGTCCTATTACAAGAAATCTATTGCGAACAGAAAATGGGGAAAGATAAATTTGAAGTGGCAGTCTTGTGCACTCCAGTTCAGTTAAGCACATATAATGGTCCAATGGGAAGCCACAGATGAGACAACGTCCGTACGTTAGGCGTAAAGAATACCCTTACAGGACGAAGTTTTAAACATCTAGTGCATGACCAGCGTCTTTTCGGGAACGTGCAACTTTCCAGCCAAATAAAGGGACACCAAATTGAAAAGTCTATATACTTGTTTATGTTCTTAATATAATATTTGGTCTAGTTGCGAAAAATTTTATTAGAAGATTAAGTTACAATAGTGATGCCATATACCATATATAACGTTATGATATATTGAACATTTTAGAAATTTTGCAGCTTAGAAATTTTTTAAAAATTATAGAAACTAGTTTCAATCAAATCGATAAACCTAAGCAATATAAATATACTACAGCACAACTTTTTCTTTACATTTAATTTTCTTAACTCTCTGTCTCATGTTTCTACTTTTCAAAAGATAGATATTTTTATCTATCTATTAATAGATAATTGGCGATATATTTAGCATCGTAAACTATTCTACAGATATATCTAAACTATTCTCTTCATTTTTATATTGTTTTTGAAGTTAATCTGATTCAGGATTACTGAATGGTATCTATTGTAAACAGCGTTTAAATAACGTTTAAAATAGATTGGTATAGAAAAGCTATACCAATTAAATCATATACGTAACAGTGGGAATTTATGAATATATGAATAAATATATATAATAAATTCTAAAAAGTACTTTTCCTATTTTATGAAATTATATGATATCATTATCTCTGTTTAAAAAATGTAAAAGAACTGTCACAGATATTGAGAATGTAAATGTACATAATAGAGTAAACATATTTAATTTTATTTGAGTATTAACAGTATCAGTTCTATAAAAACTACCAATCGTAAATATAAGCTCAAATATTTATACATACATACATACGTTTATATAAGAATATGATTACTTTTAGAGAACTCCATTAATTGAACTTTATCATATCACAGATTATTATTGAATATTTTACAATGTTATAACTCAACATTGATTAGAACTAATTTTACCCTGTGATATTATATATGTTATCAATAAAAATGTACAAAGTACATCATTAACTGGACACGTAAGTTAAAATATAGTTAAGTGGTATACGTACTTAATAATGTTTATGTTATGTAGGTAAGGAACTAATAAAATTATTCTCAAAAGCTCTATAAAGTTAGTAGATGATGACGGTGCAGTTGCTAAGTAGCTTTAATTAGAAATTGAGATATAATTGATAGCATTGGTAAATATATTTTCAATGTCAATGAGGGTATTGAAAATGTTATACGGAAGGTTTTCTATAGAAAACTTTTATTCGACTTTTTTCTGTCTTTTACAGCTGGTACTTTCTTATAAAAATAATAACTTTCTTGTTATTATTCTTTTATTGCTATTGTTATATATAGATGTAGGTCAGTGGCTCCCAATTGATGGTCCGCGTTATGTTTACATAGTTTATAGTTTGTCCACTGAGATCTCATTTATTAGAAAATATATTATACATTATACAAATACATTATTAGGCTACATAACGTCAATATGATAGAAGTGTCTATTTTTACTTTAATAGAAACTGTGGTATTTAATAGAGAAGTTTCGAACAGTAGTGAGCTATTTTGTTGTAGCTCTGTGCTTTAAATTTGGCGGGCATGACTTCAATCCCTGGTACTGGCAGTCTCAAAAAAAAAATGAAAATTATTTACGAATAAATAAATACAAGAAATATTTCCACTGATGATGAGTATTTGGCAATACTCAAAACAGTGTATGGTCAGCCAAAAACCCAATTAATTAAAATTATATAAAAATAATTTTTGTTGTTGTAGCTTACTACTGTTCGAAACTCCTCTATTA